TAATTCTCTTTATATCAGTCCTAAATCGTTGACTTTCTATTCTGAGACTGTGATGCTTGATTGTCGATTCTGCCAAATGGTGGAAATATTTACTCAGAATCACTCCTTACACGACAACGTCTTCATCCCAAGAACCAGTCTGGTGAATCCTCATTGAGCTCCCTTGTTACAAAGATGCTTCATGTTTAATGGTGCTGGAAGGACTTTTATTGTTACATGTAGAACATAGAACAGTACAGGCCCTTCAACCCACAATGTTGTGCTGACCTATTATCCTACTAAGGTCAAACTACCCTGCATACCCTGCATTTTACTATCCTTCATGTGCCTATCTAAGAGTCGCTTAAAAGTCCCCAAGGTATCTGACTCCACTACCACTGCCGGCAGTGCGTTCCATGCACCCACCACTCTCTGTGTAAAGAACCTTCCTCTGACATCTCCCCTATACTTTCCACCAGTCACCTTAAAATTATGTCCCCTTGTAATAGTCATTTCCGCCCTGGGAAAAGTCTCTGACTATCCACTCTATCTATGCCTCTCATCATCTTGTAAAACTCTATCAAGTCACCTCTCATCCTTCTGAACTCGAACGAGAAAAACCCTAGCTTCCTCAACCTTTCCTCATGAGACCCATCCTCCAGTCTAGGCAACATCCTGGTAAATCTCCTCTGCACCCTGTCTAAAGCTTCCACATCTTTCCTTTAATGAGCTGACCAGAACTGAACACAATATTCCAAGTGTGGAATGCTAGAAAACTTACTTATTTTGAGCTTAGTGGAAATACCTAGTGTGGTTTCTTTAAAACGGGTAGTTGAAAGTTCCCTGTGGATGTTTTAGTTTTTTTTTAGCAAGGCTTCCTAAAAAATCACATGACTAGTAATAACTACTTGTTTTGGGTAGATTCCTACTGAGACTGTTTTGAGCACTGACTGGCTTTGGAGAAGTTCTTGTTTTATCTTGTCCAATTGAAGGAAAGCCTGCAAAGAAGAAGCTGCCCATCTGATTGCTTCCCTTTCTGAAATGAAAATGTTCATGTTGAATTTGGACTGAAACCTATTTGCTCATTTGTAAGAGTGGCTGACGGAACATTCCAAACTTTATCCTTTCCATTAACCAAGAAGAACTCATGTTTTTGTTTCAGAAAGCCAATTTGTGCAGTTTTTTTGGGTGGGGGGAGGGGAGAGCTCTGTGTGTGTGTGTGTGTGTGTGTGTGTATACCAATTATTGGATCATCACTGAATAAGTTTTATTTTGATAATAAACCAATAATGGTGTTTATTAAGAAATCTGGTCAATAGATCTTTTTGTTTAAAACCTGATACAGATAAGGTATTTAATTGTACATCTGAAAGGTAAAGTTGCCTTACTCATACTGGCCCACAGCACTCATTTGAGAGATGTGACTGGTGGTGAGTTTAACCTGAGGGGCATGACACCATAGGTGAGGGGAGAGATTGAGAAGGAGGATCCTCATGGTAACCTCAACGGGTGCAGGAATTGAACCCATGCTAATGCATTACTGTGCTCAGAAACCAGGCATCCAGCTAACTGAAATGGTTCAGTAAGTAATCTGATTTCAAGCTTCAAGACCAGACCAGTTGCAAATGGACACAAGAGAGCTCAGCAGGTGCTTATTTCCCCATTGACTGAATTGGTGAGTGAGGTTGGAACTTTAGATGTTCTGGATAACAATGACCCCTACCCACTCAGTCCTGTAGAGATGATCTTACAGAATGTGGGGAAATTGAAGATCATTTAATTTTAGCTCTATGGGCTGAGAATAAAAAATAATCTCTAGAGTTTTCTCCTCTCTTTACAACAATAACAAATAATTTCTTCGGGAAAAAGAAAAGGTGATTTCTGTGATAAAACTGTCAGAGTATGATTCATGTCTGATTCTTTGAGGTTTGGATAAAGTTTAAGGAAAAGATTTTCTTATGGGCCTGAAATTAATTGTTGCTTTAGTGAAAATGGTTCTTGAGCAGATCTTCTGAGCAAAGTAAGGACATGTGCCTGAGCATGAGTAGGAATTATGATTCAGTAGGAGCACCTCTTGAAATGATTTCAAATAAGTTGAAGTATATTGTAGGGTTAGGCACTAGCTTTCGTTCCCTGCATCTTTTTGGTTTACTTCTGTTGAGGGCTTGTGATTGTTTGTTGGCGATGACATGGTTTTAGATAGTTGCTGTTTGCTTGGGTCTACTAAACAGGTCTGGCTGTGATGTAGTTTATATCACAGACTGGGTGTGAGAAGATTGAGAATTTGACCACACAAGTAGATAGGGTGGTAAAGAAGGCATATGGCATGCTTGGCGATAGTAGGAACTGCCGATGCTGGAGTCTGAGATAACAAGGTGTAGAGCTGGATGAACACAGCAGGCCAGGCAGCATCAGAGGAGCAGGAAAGCTGATGTTTCGGCTCTGGACCCTTTATGAAGAAGGGTCCAGACCCGGAACATCTGCTTTCCTGCTCCTCTGATGCT